TACCACAAGGCCTAGCTCTACACTGAGCTTCAGGGCAGAGAATCCTCTCTCCGTGTAAGTTTCCATTCTCCATTAGTGAAAAATAGGCCAACCTTCCACCTTCCACCGCCAACCGCACCTGCCTCTACACCCCGGAGGGACTGAGTCTCCTCAGTCGGGCTGGAATGCTGAGAGGTCGGAGTCGTTGGTCAGCAGGCAAACACACACGTGAGGGATGTGCAGGCCTGTGTCCTCACAAAACCCTGAGAGGTAGATCTTGCTGTGATCGTGCTGGGGAGAGGGGAAGCAGGTGGGGTGAGTGAGAGGAGGCCCGTGTAGAGCAGTGGAGGACAGACACGCTTCATCACAGAGGCTGCACGTTGTCTGGATGGAAGGGCCGCAATGACCCTGCAGCAAGCGGGATGCTCGGAGGCACATTTCCAGCAGCCGGTGCTCACTGAGCGTCCTGGCTCCGTTCTGGCCATTCCTGCAGCACTGAGACCCCCCCCCCCCCCCATGGAAGCACAAGTCTTCAAACACAGTCATGTAACTTTTCTGTCACTGAGAAAACAGAAATCTGTGCGACTTTATTTCAATACTGGCTCTATTACGGTGGTCTGAAACCCAGTCCACAACATCCCAAGGTCTACCTGTACTTAAGGAGTAAGACTGCTGGCACAGGCATGGGCACTAGTAGAAGGCCAGGTGACAGTCGTCGGGTGGTGACAAGTGCCTAGAAGGGGCTAAAGACATGACCACACCTATGACCACACAGGTCTTCAGATATGTGTGTATCTGTATGTGTATAAACCGATTCACGTATACAACAGAGCACTGGGGTAACATTATGAAAACTTAGTCATAACCAAGAGCTTAAGGGTATAAGTCACTGAGCAGCTCAGATCACAGTCTCCAGAGACATCCAGGCCAACACAGTCCACAAAGATGTTCTACAGACTCCTTGGTTGGTAGCAACTAGGATCCTATCCACATGCAAGCATCCACCCAAGGTGTGTCCATTAGCCTCTCCCCATCCAGAGCAAACAGAGAAGAAAATCAAAGACTTAGCATCCGAACGGTTAATGGATGGCTGGAACTTGGTCTGGTCTACAGGATTTTGAAGCTAGAAGAATGAGATGCCTCCTGGCTGGCCATGCTGACCCACTGACCACGGTCACAGGTGCTGACCACCAATAGGGATCAGAGTAAAGGATTCCAGACACGAAGGGTAGAAAATGGGGAACAAAAAGAAATTGTGGAAAAGATCCAACAGGCTTACTGGTCTGATAGAGCCTGGCGGAACCCCTGGAAACCTTCCACAGCACCACCCTCCACTGGATGGAGAACTGAGATGGGCCCCCCCTCACTGCCATTCTCCCAGAGGAATGCCCATGGACATGACCTCTGAATCCTGAGTGAGGACTGCTCTCACACTGACCACCTGTTTGCCCTTGCTCTTGTCCATTTCTGTTCTAGGTAGACCTTAGCTCTGCAGGAAAGAGGAATGGGATCAGGGCAGTGGGCAAGGGCTGAGACCAAGACCCAAACCCACGAACACTGAGTGGATCAAGGCTCTCAGGGGGCCTGCAGCCAGGAAGCTTCCCGGACTCAGGCTCTGAGTCCCTGCAGCAGGGGAGCTGTCCGGACTCAGGCTCTCAGAGGGCCTGCAGTAGAGGGGAGATGCCTGGATCCGGGCTCTCAGAGGGTCTGCAGCAGAGGGGAGATGCCTGGATCCGGGCTCTCAGAGGGTCTGCAGCAGAGGGGAGATGCCTGGATCTGGGCTCTCAGAGGGCCTGCAGCAGGGGAGCTATCCAGATCTGGGCTCTCAGAGGGCCTGCAGCAGAGGGCAGATGCTCGGATCCAGGCTCTCAGAGGGCCTGCAGCAGGGGAGCTGTTCGGACCTGGGCTCTCAGAGGGCCTGCAGTGGGGGAGCTGTCCAGATCTGGGTTCTCAGAGGGTCTGCCGCAGAGGGGAGCTGCCTGTCGCATTCTCACTACCACTGAGCGGATCCGGGATCTCAGAGGCCCTGTGGCAGAGAAGAGCTGCCTGTCATGTTCCTGGGCTGTAATTTTTACAGAAGCAGATTGTCTCAGGTGCACCACTGACCTCTTGATTAGCCGCCATATGCTTAACCACTACACCACCACAGCTTTTCTTATAGAGAAGAGTGAGCATTAGAGGAAGAACAAAGGACTTCATTCTGTAACATCTCTCCCTGCACACATGCACAAATGCAAAGAGGTGCATGTGAAAGCTCTCCTTAGTGAAACCTCTTATTAACAGTGACAGGGGAAGAATTGATGCCTTTGAGCTATGAGGTCGGAGAAGGGCACTGATTAGCCCATGGACTGCTCAAACAGTTATGTCTTGGAAAAAGTGCAGACAGAGTGCTCCTTGGAGGCAAAGATGATGAAGGTTTATCTCACATACTTTGGGCATGGTGTTAGGAGAGGCTACTCCTTGGAGAGGGACATCATTCTTGAGGGGTCAGTAAAAGAGAGGAAGACCCTCAATGAAGACACAGTGACTGCAGCAAAGGGCTCAAGTGTGTCAGAAATGATGAGGACGGCCCAGGATAGGACAGGGTTCAGGTCTGAGATTCATAGGGCTGCTGTGAGCCATGCTCAATTCGATGGCACCTGACAACTCAGTGCGAAAGCTCTGCTTTGGAAGGGAGGCATCGCAGAGTGTAAGACAGCTACAGTGTCCTGAGGCGAATCCCATCAGTGGACTGCACACAACCTGCCGCTGCTCTGAAACACAGATGGCCTCATTTCTAACGGCCCCCCACCCCACCCCAAGGTATATCTACAGTCCCATAGGACAAAATCATAAGCCACAGACTGGAACCAAGCCCGGCCTCCATGGTCTGTCTTGACACCACTCACTCAGCGTCTCCATCCAATTCACCGCCATCCAGTACTGTGAGCATCACTAACTGATCTGAGGGACTAGGAAGGCTCCCTGCTGAGCCAGGCTGCTTACTGGAAGGAGAAGGGCTGCTGCTGTGGGCTCCTTCCTCTCCCAGCCCGAGCCTTCCCTTTGGATCCTACCCCAGACTGGCTCACACGGGCTTCATCCTGACACCGACAGCAGACCTCCCGGTCAGAATGCTTCCTGGTCTGGAGCACTCCTGGGCCAGAAGCCATTCATCCCTCGGTTCTGTCTGAAAAGGAGACCCCTTAACTCAGCTCCTGCTCTGGGCCTTTTGCCCCCACCCCCACCCACCATCCTCTCTGATGACAGTAAGATTAACAGCTCATGATGATAAATAACAGCATAAGAAGGGGAAAAAACCTCACTTCTAATTCATACATAATTTCATTGTAAGATTTTAGTCATGCGTACGTAGAATTCTAAAGGTCTTCTGATGTAGTTAACCAACAGGTAATTTACTCAAGGAATACACGTGAAAATAAACTTCCACTTGAATGACGATAGACAACAAACACTCCAGCACTTTCTTTTTTCACTAGAGAATTAGAGACTATAAAGTATCAATTAAAGGCTCATGCATGACTTGCCTTTTTATTTCATTCCCTTCTGTTTAATAAAACCTGGGTGCTGAAATGCTGCCGTGTGAGACAGAACATCACCACTCTTGTTTCCTTTCACTGTTCACGTTCATCTCATCTGATAGATACCAGAAGTGTGGGAGGAGGCAGTGCTCCCTTCACACAGGCTGAGCCTCCAGCTCCACAGGGAGCTTCAGGAGCGTCAGTGACGGTGGTTGTGATGCTTATGGTGGTGATGATGGTGATGGCGATGATGGGCATGGTGGTGAGGGAGCTGATGGTGGTGAAGGTGGTGATAGTGATACTGGTGGTGGTGGTGATGGTAACGATGGCGATGATGGTGGTGAGGTGGTGGTGGTGATGATGATGGTGAAGGTGGTGATAGTGATACTGGTGGTGGTGGTGATGGTAATGATGGCGATGATGCTGGTGAGGGTGGTGATGGTATCAATGCTGCTGGTGGTGAGGGTGGTGATGACGCTGGTGGTGGTGATGATGATGGTGATGGTGGTGGTGAGATGGTGATGGTAGTGATGATGATGATGGTGATGGTGGTTATGGTGATGGTGGTTCTGGTAATGGTGATGGTGATGATGATGATGATGGTGATGGTGGTGAGGGTGGTGACGGTTATAATGAACATGGTGGTGATAAAGGTGATGATGGTGATGGTATCAATGCTGGTGCTGGTGGTGGTGGTGGTGATGATGATGGTGATGATGGTGGTGGTGATGGTGATGGTAATGATGATGGTGATGATGGTGGAGAGGGTAGAGATGAGGAAGTAGGAGAAGCCAGCCTGTGGAGAGGTAGAGTGGTGGAATGGCAGCTTCCTGCAGCTTGAAGCAATTTTTACTGCTCCACCCTCAGAGTTCACCCCCCTGTCGGGAAGCTGTTGAGTACCATAGAGTTGGAACTGACCCATAGCTCACTCTCCAGTGGGTTTTCAAAGGCAGTTAATCACTTGGGAGGAGATTGTCCATCTTTCTCCCGTGGATCAGCTGGTGGCCTCAAACTGTGGACCTCTGGGAATGCAGTGCATCTTCTTGCCACTAGGCCACCAGCGCTCCCTTTAGAGGAAGTAGGAACTGAGCAGCTCAGTAAGGTTTGCTTGGCCCAAACCATGGTATTTCCAATCACCTTGTATGAAAGCTGTTGCTGTTGAGTACCTTCTAATCACCCATGGCTCATAACGACCCCATATACAATAGCTCTCGACCCTGACCTTCTCAGAGCCAGTCTCATTGACTCTGACACACCTACCCCCATTACCCCAGTTAACAGTGCCAATCCATCTCTCTGGTTCTTCTACCCTTCCAAGCATCATGTCCTTTTCCAAGGACTGGCTCCCACAGCCACATACCTAAAGTATGTGAGACAGAGCTTCAAAATCTTTATCTCCAAAGAGAAACTTGGGGTGGGGTGTGTGTGTGTGTGTGGGTGTTGGAAATTTTTTAAATGGAAAAAACACAAGGTCCTATAAATTGATGGCATACTAATTGACACTTCAACAGATGCAGCTCTGAATGTGCTCCCCAGAAATCTGGTTGTGCTAAGAAATCTGGAAGACAGCTACCTGGCCAATTGACTGGTACAGATCCAGATATGTTCTCATTTTAAAGAACATGATCTAGTAGAATGTATACATTATAAAACAATATTACTAATATCATATGTGAGCAAAATCTTATTCAAGATCATACAAAAATGATTTGCAAAACATCTAAAGATTAATCTCTGTTTGATCCAATCCATGGTCTTCACAATTGCTTGCTGTGTGTCTGAGAGCCAGACAACAAATGATAGTATAAGAACCAGTGGTTTTGATTTGTGGTATTGAGAAGAGTGTTGAACATACCACTGACTGCCAAGAGAACAAACAGGGCTGTCCTGGAGGCAAGGCTGGTGAAACTTGGGCATGTTGTGAGGAGGGACCAGTCCTTGGGAAGGATACCACGCTTGGAAAAGGAGAAAATTAGTGAAAGAGAAGACCCTGGATGAGATGGACTGACACAGCAACTGTGATAATGGGGTCAGATGTGTCAGAAATGGTGAGACTGGGTCAGGATATGGTCGGGTTCAGAGTTACTGTACATAGGGTCACTCTGGGTCGTAGTCAACTCAATGGCACATAACAACAACAGCAACAACAAAACAATAGAATCTCAAGAGGAAAATTGTGTGTGTGTGTGTGTGATGAGGTACACAACATTATAGTGACAGAAAGAAAACAACACTTTAAGAAGCAGTTTTACTCATAACAAGATTATCAGCATATATCAAAGGCTTTCAATCAAAACCCAGCAGCCTCTACGCATGGTGGCCCCTTACTGTCCCCACAATGGTCTGAACCACACAATTCCAAGAAGAATTACCTACAGCTGTAGCTTTAATTGGGCCGAGTTTTTGTTTTGTTTTTTTTTCCTGTCTTAACTCCCTTCTCTATAATGCCAAGTAGGCATTTGGATTCTAATCTTTATTAAAACACTTTCGAGCCAAATTGTGCTATGTTTAAATGAAAAATAGAAAATAAATGAGAATGAAATGACCCTGATGGGAAGGTCCACAGCAGAGGGACATCTGCTTGTGCCACTGTCCACTGTCATTGGTGTGCCAACCCAGAAACAGCTGCAGGTGGCTGTGTTTCTGTAGGGAGAGAATGCCCACTCCTGAAGTCTCACAGGGGCGTGTGGCTTCACTCACACATGAGGGAGGACTCTCCTGTGAGCCACCCAGCACGAGTCCAAGCTCACAGCGGAAGCACACACACCTCATTCACAGTCCATACGTGCCCCGTTGCCACGGCTACAGAAGAGTGTGCAGTGCAGGGGCCGCATCCCACAGAGCTTTCAACCGATGACTCACAGACCAACATGCTTTGCTAATTAAGGGAACATACGGAAAGGTTGTGAAGGGTAGCTGTCTACTCTCAATTAAGTAAACCAGGCGCAAACAGGAAGCAAAGCTCTTGTTACTGTCGGTCAATTATAATGCATCAGTCACGTGATCCTGTTCTAGGCATATGGCATGTCCTTTAAAAGTGCATTATTAGGTGCTTATGCGGCCATATAAGAAGTCAGAGTGTGTGGAATCAACCCATAGTCTGCCTAAGGGACACTGTGTGACTCAAACATCTCCCTCCATAGATCAATATGTGCTCCTGTTTCCAGCAGTGCTGCTCGCCCAGGAAAATGCTGTCCTCAGGCCATCGTGCAAGCAGATCCTACAGAGAATCTGGCAATGACAGCACAGTCTCTGAGCCCCAAAACCCAGAACCAAACCTACAGCTGAGATGATGGTAGTGAAATCTCATCCAATGAGAGCAAATGTACGTGAGAGAGCCTAGAGAGCATATGTGTATGCGTGTAAGAGAGCCTAGGGAGTGTGTGAGAGAGTGTCTGTGTGTGTGTGTATGTGTGTGAGAGAGAGAGAGAGAGAGCGAGCGAGAGAGCAAGAGCACCTAGAGAATATGTGTGTATGTGTGTGTGAGAGAGAGAGAGACAGCGAGCCTAGGAAGAGTGTGTGTGTTGTGTGTGTGTGTGTGTATGCAAGGGAGATGTGTGTGTGTGTGACATGTGTGTGACGTGTGTGTGAGAGACACGTGTGTAAGAGATAGATGTGTGCGTGTGAGAGACATATGTGTGTGAGATGTGTGTGAGAGACGTGTGTGTTTGAGAGAGACGGGTGTGTATGTGTGAGAGTCTAGTGTGTGTATGAGAGACAGAGACATGTTTGTGTGTGTGAGAGATGTTTGAGAGAGGTGGGGTGTGTGTGTGTGTGAAAGAAAGAAAGCTTTTGTAGAAAATATGTGCACCTGTAAGTGAGACACTGTCTGTTAGAACATGTGATGCACCAGAGAGAGATAAAGTGTGAGAAAGAGTACGTGTGAGAGTGTGCATGTGAGAACATGTGTGTGTGAGAGATTAGGTTTGTGGGAGAGGGTGGTGCATGAGGAAATTGTGGGACCAAGAAAGTGGGTGTATGTGAGAGAGGCAGAGCAAAGCTCTGGTGTGCGGTGAGGAAGGGCACCTCCTGTCACAGCTCAGTCCCAGCCCCGGCCTTCCAGACCCCAGTGCAAAGGTCACACTCCACTCCCCGCTCTGAGAGGGTCAGATGCGCTCCCCACCTCCGGCTGCGGGGAATGGCTGCTCTTGGAGGAGAGGGGTTTAGTATTTACTATGGAGAGGGTCTTTGTTCCCTGGCTCCTCTGGGGCCCTGGTCTGGAGGGAGCTGCCTGACTCACCCAGAGCTCCCAGTCTGTCCTGCTTCACCAGCAGCTCCGAGGGAGAGAGGTAAGCAGTCTCCTCTGACGGGATTCCCGGCCTCACAAGGTCAGTGGGGGACCACCGTGAGCTGCCACGGACAGCGCAGTGGGCCGGTGATGGGTTTGTCCAATCCCTTCTCTGGACTTAACTGGACAGTCCCCTCACAAAGGGCTCCCTCTTAGTCCATAATAACCGACATTTTCTGCTGACTTGGCTGACAGACCAGGTACCTGCACCAGGGCTGACCTGAACAACTCTTTGGGACCCTGGAGATAAACCTCCCAGGACATTTTCCTCTGCTCTTATCTCAGAACCAAGGTCAAAGTCCACTCACACAGAGATTCCTTCCACCATAGCCCCTGACTCACAGCAAAGCTTTAAGATGCCCACACCCCACCAGGAACTCCACCCCACTTCACTCCATGTTCCTATTAAACCCCAGTGGGATTGGGCGAGCCTATAAATAGACTGTGACCTAGATGGGCTGAGGCACAGACCCGGCTCACCCTGGGCTCAGTTCTTGAGGACCCCCACGTGGCACTCAGGGTCCAGTGCTGAGGCTCTGCCATCCTCTGGGTCCTGCCACCCCGCCTGGCCCACCACCGCCTGTCCAGGTCTTCAACGGGACCCTGTACAGTGACCCAGACATTCATTCCTCGTGTCCTTACTCTTTGCTCGACTGAGCTTCTCAAACATCGCCTTTTTAACAAGTTGAAGGGTTGTGACAACCCTGCCAGGCGAGTGTGCCGGGATCCTGGGCTCACTGCATCTGGTGCCACGAGGAGCTCACCGTCCCCACAGTGACGCTAAACGTCCACCTGAAGGATCACATCCGCACGTTCTAGGGAAAGGCTCACTTTTATAAAGCTTTTCTTAGGAAAAACCCCCAAAACCAATAAAACACCAATCTGTCAATTAACAAAGAAAACCACCAAGCAAATAAACAAAATCACCCCCAAACTAAAAAATCTGAGAGCTCTGGCGGCCCAGTCCATGGACAGCTCATTGCTGACCCAAAGGTGGTTCATCTCGGTCAGTTCAAATCCACAGCTGTCCCAACAGAGAAAGGGAGTCCCTTCCCGTGAGATTCACAGCATTGGAAACCGACGAGAGGGCCAGCTAGGGGGTCGGGTCTGACTTGACTGTGAGGGGTGTGTGTGTGTGGTGTGTGTTTAATATGCCTAAACTTTGAGTTATATTGTTGTTGTTATGTGCCTTTGAGTTGCCTGCAACTCATAGCTACCCTATGTACAATAGCTTTGAATCCTGCCCTGCCCTGAGCCAGCCTCACTAATTCCGATACACTTACCCCCATTGCCCCAGTTACTGTATTACTCTGTCTCTTCTGGGGTCTTCCTCTCCTGCACTGTCCCTCCACCCTTCCAAGTATGATATCCTTCTACAAGGACCAGTCCCTCCTGGCCACGTGCCCAAATTATATGACACAGAGCTTCAAAATTCTAGCCTCCAGGGAGAAACTTGGATTTACCCTCTCCAAGACAGACTTAATTGTTTTCTTGGTGGTCCATAGTATGTTCAAAGCTCTTCTCCAGCACAACTCAAAGCCATCAATTCTTCTTCTATCATCCTTAATCATTGTCCAACTCTCTGAGGCATAGCAAGTAATTGAGAAGACCGAGGTCTGGATCAGGTATACCTAAGTCTCTAGAGTGATATCATTGTTTCTCAGTACTCCAGAGAGGTCCCTGATAGCAGATTTTCCTAGTGGGAGCTGAGCAAGGTGTAACTGTTAACAACCTCAATCTCTTCTCCATCTATCATGGTACTGTGAAATGGTCCAGTGGTGAGAATCTTCGTTTTCTTGATGTTGAGCTTCAATTCACACTGAAGACTACAGTCCTTGACCCTCTGTAGCAAGTGCTTCAGGTCCTTCTCAGGTTTAGCAAGTAAATTGTATTATCTGCATAACACAGGTTGTGGATGTGTCTTCCTCTAATCCTGATGCCACATTCCTCCTCATAAAGCCCAGCCTCTCCAGTGATTTGTTCTGAATATAAACTGGAAAAGGTATGGAGACAGGATGCATCCCTAAGGCACTCCTTTTCTGATTTTGAACCATGCAGTGCTTCTTTGCTCTGTTATGAGGACTGCTTCCTGGTCTGAGAATAGGTTTTGCAAAAGCACAACCAAGTGTTCTGGGATTCCCATTTTTCTCAAGGTTAGACACAATTTGTTGTGATCCACACAGCCAAATGTCGTTGCACAGTCAATAAAATACAGATAGACTTTCCTCTGG